TGTTCCTAAACTGAAGATCAGTATCTGCCACAAATGAACTTTGTTAATACGTATGTTTTATATCTTTATGATTAGCCTGCCTATATATCTGTCCTGTTACTTAGCAATGTAGGAAATGATCTAGTAAAGTTAATGATCCATTAAGAAAGCAAAAGTAAACCCACACAATGAAGCATAGAGCACTCCTTTCTGTGCATGTAAAAAGGCATATATAATCTGTTATAACATGTTATACCAAACATGTTCTTCCACTTAACCAGTGTTGAAGATATTATAAAGAAATATATTTATAGTCTTTGTCACAGAGCAATTCTTTCTTTTTGTTTTGTTTTGCATATTTTATTTTGTTTTTTGAAATAATCTCCCTGTGTACCTGGTCTATATTCCCAATCCTCTTATCTCTGCCTCTCAAGAGCTGACATTGCAGATGTGCCATCTCTCCGGGCTCAACACCAGTTCTTTAAATGTATGCTATCACTAATATTACCTAGTATCAAGTTTTTCAAATTTAGGCTGTTATTCAATTCTCATTCCTCAGATAAAAATGGTTTTTAGAACTTCTTAATATCTTTACAAACTCCAGGCAATCATTCTTCAGAATGGGACTCAGATCTTAGCACCATGAATTCAAGTGGAATCTAGACAGAGAATAAACAAATTAAGTAGACCTGGAATCTTGCATACAGTAATTTAGTCATTTAATACCTGAGATATAACATTGCTGGATGTTTTTCACCTAATAAAACAGTTAAATCACAAATTTAATCATTTCTCTATGAGTTTTCTTGGTTTAGGGTTTTTAATCTCTTCTCTTTGGGTGGTAGTGGATATCTATTATTTTATATCTCCTGATCTTTTTGCCTTAGTTTTTTGAGACATCCAGACTTCATTTTCTTTCTTATTAACATGGTTTGAATGTTTCTATTTCCTCCAAAATTTATGATAGCAGCCTAATGCCAATGCAACAGCATCTGGAAGTAAGAATGTATTGAAAGCTCTTAGGCCATAAGGTCTGGCCCGAGTAAAATTAATACATCTGCTAAAAAGGCTTGGGGGATAAGTTTCCCCTCTTCCCCATTCGTTATGTGAAAAAATGATGTTCCTCCTCTTTGGAGGACATAGCAACATGACTCAAACTTGGAACTGGAGATCAAACTTACTGGCAACTAGACCCTGGAGTTTCCAGCCTCCAGAATTCTAAGACTAATACATTTTTGTTTTCCATAAATTATCTTGTCTGTGGTGTTAAGACTAAGACACTCATCAACTTTGTCTCTGATTGAGGCAATCAGTAAGCTGACTGAGGACAAAGGTGTGTGATACTGTGATCCAAGATCGCATCTTTCAGTTTTCTTTCTTTCTTTTTTTTAAACAGGGTCTCCCTAGCCCCAGCCTACCTGGAACTCACTATGTAGACCGTCTGGCCTCAATCTCACAGAGATCTGCCTGCCTCTGCCTACCAGTGCTGGGATTAAAGGTGTGTGGCACCCCGCTCAGCTAGATCTTGCAGTTTTCTAAACTCAACTAGATAATGAAATAGCATTCTTTTCCAGGCATGAAACTGTGAGATTTGTGAAATATGAACTCTCAGAATTCTTCTCATCTGTGAACAAAAGTAGCTGGAGACAATAAAAGCAATAGAGAAAGAAAAGCAAATATTCTGGTTACTTTGAAGATCCCAGTTCCATCTGATTAAAGCGTAGCTGTACCTTTAGGCTCTCTGTAGGCACTTGAACTGATAAATTCATTTAAAATATTGAAAAGAAAATAGAAAAGGGAACAGAAATGAAGGGAGGGAGGGAGGGAGGGAGGGAGGGAGGAAGGGAGGGAGGAAGGGAGGGAGGAAGGAAGGGTAGAAAGCTGGGTATCCAGTGGTACAAAACTGTAAGCTACTCAGGAGGTCGCACAAGATCTTGAAATTGAGGTCAGCCTGGTTACCCAGAAAGATTGTGTCTCAAACAAACAAATCACTTTCCAAACAAAATAAGTTCTAATTGCTCTATAGTCTTAGCTATTTAAGGCTTATATTAATCCTTATTCAACTTTTTATCCTATTTCATCTTTTTATTATTGCTGTAATGTTACCATAATGTTATTGGTTTAAACACCATAATTTTGTTATCTTACAGTTCAGCAAGTCAGAAGTCTAACCCTGGTCTCCTGGATTTATAGGTATGGCCGGCCACCTGCAGTTCTTTCTGGAACGTCTAGGGAAGACCTTGTCTGTCTGTGCTTTCTAGCTTCTGAGGAGCACTATGTTGTTCCTGCCTCCCTTTCTTGATCTTTGAAGGCAACAGTATTGTCATTCTGCACATTCTTCTGTAATCATATTTACCTTTAACCCTGATCTCAACTGGGAAAGGTTCTTTCCAGGGACTTTTGTGACTAAATTGGACTTATCTGGATAATTCTGGGTAATCTCATTTCAAGGCCTTAGATTTTAAGCAAATGTGAATAGTCTCTTTTGTCTTAAAGTGTAATATCCCCATGGGTTCTGAGAATTAAGTGTATACATCTTTGGGGGGAGGTGATATCATTATTCTACCCACCAGTAAACAGGAGAAACCATTCTATTTCCCACTTTGAGTCAGGGAAGTGTAGGGATTAGTTTGGTCATCTGGAACTCTGCTTGGTTTGGGCATTACACACACTCCTTCTAATAAGGACTTGGCAGCCTGAGACCCTTAACCCATATATACTATGCACACACAACCCTCTCTGAACAAAGCGCCTAGCAGTTTGTTACCAACCTAGGACCCCAACCTGCACTGAGCTGCATACACATTCCATTCTGAACAATGGTATAACTTTCTCTTTCCCTTAAAGGCCATCATACAGATTCCATTTACCTGTACTCCAATTAAACCCAGTATGAGAGTATGAAAGCTAATTCAGCCTGAACTAGTTCTGGATGCATGAGCAAAAAGGCAAACTATGTCCTCAAGTGAACTTTCAAGGTGAATCCTTATTTACCATCTTATACCTATATATGATTGGGCATGGATATGATTAAAATCAGATATGTGATGGGAAGAACTATGCAGAGTTAGAAAAAAACCCATCAATCAAAATAGTTAGCTAAGCCTATCAATCAAAACGGAGAACCATCCGAACTATGCCCTAGTATCCGTATCTTTTGGACCCCCTAAATGAAAGCCCCAGGCAATAACCGGGGTCACTCCTGACAGTATATTCTGACTAGTTCTATCACTTTGCTTTGAATAGTTTCCTAGCTACTTTTGCAAACCTGTGTGTCTTTGTTTTATACCTTTTTTAAATTTTTTAATATTTTATTGAATTTTTGTGTATTTCATACAAAGCGTCTTAACTTTATACCCCTTCCCCACTGGCACCCACCCATAGCCCCCCCACTGGAATTCATACAATCTGTCATTTGTGCTAAGGCCTATCATGTCAAGTTAGTGTCCCCAGATGTCCCTCAGTGCAAGTTTATCCACTGAGATCTAGTCAGCCTATCTAGAGTCCCTCCCTTTAACCATAGAACAGTAATCAGCTGCCAATAATTTTTCATCTAAGGTTGGGGCCTGCTGTTCATTTCCACAGTTCTGTGCTGGGTTTTTGTCTGCTTGAGTTTGCCTGGGTCTTGTGCATGCTGATACCATTGCTCATATGAGAAGGGTCTCAGGAGTCTGTAGGACTTTATTTCCATATGGTCATGCACTTCCTCCCTGGCTCTTAAAATCGTTCCACGCTTTCTTCCCCAATGGTCCCTGATCCCTGAGTGGGTAGATTTTAATATAGGAGTCCTATCCAAGGAGCCACATTCTGTAGACTCAAGGACCTGGAAATACTAGACCCAGGCTCTGAACGTTAGCAACAATGTCATTCAACTCAGTAATAAAAAAAAGTAAAGTACAAAAATCAAAGACTCCATGTTAGTAATAACCTGCTAATCAACGTTATTTTACAACTGCTTTGTTTTGACTTTTTTTATTGCTTTACTGGGTAGGAAATTTTTCCAGGTTTTATCTTTTTTTTAAAAAAAAATGATTCTGATGATCTTTAAGGATTTTTTTCAGCATACATACAGCATGTAATCTTTGAGATGTATAGTTAGAAGCATTTCCATATCTATATATAAGCCTGGAAGCTCAAGGCTACTATCTTTCCTGAGTATGGAAAATTAACAAGAAGTCTCTCTTTGTTTTACTAATTGCTTTGTTTTCCAAAGCTGCTAGCAGAACATCTGCTAGGACTGAACTCCTTCCTTCCATACACCATAGAACCTTAGCCTCATAAACAACCCCCGCATAAGGGCAAACACATTCCAGGTCGCCAGCAGGCAGTTTTCAAGAGACAAAGACATCAAGTAGAAATGAGGCTGAACTATCATCCAAAATCTTGAGTGGTTGTGGAGTGGTTAATTCTATAAAGATCTCATAGTGCCTGCAGTTTTATTGATTTTGTTTTTCAATAGAACTGTTAAAGATTACAATTCTAAGACAGGCATAATGTGGGCAGATGCTCACATTCTCACACAAAGTTCTGCCAAGATATTTTTACATCTTTCTGCACATAAAGCAAAATGAAGACATGTGTTAGAGATGCATGCTACCAGTACCGCCCCCCCTAGAAGAAGGGAGTTTATTCTATGCTCATTTCCTGGATGAAGAATTAAGACAATTCTACCTAGGAAAACTGAACCGCATTTCCAGAAGAAAAGAGATTTGCTTCTGAGACACCTTACTGAACATTTTTAATTGTCAAAAAAAGTTGGAATGGCAATCTGGGCAGTCATATTCAAATGCCATCCCTGCTATTTCTAACTCAATATGGAACTCGTGTCAGTTCTACTGGTGAGACATCAACGTACAAAATGCTGCAACAGCTTCTGCGTATTGATGTTCATTCATCTACTGTGCTTCACACAGGCTTGTTTCAAACATGGAAGGGAGCAAAAAGCAAACTCAGAAACAACTTGAAACTTACTTTCTCAAGAAGAACACTCTAGAGGAAAATCTGTGAAAGCATAGTCTTACCTTAGGAGACTTGGGCAGATTCACGGTTCTTTCTTCTGCTAACGTGAGCAGGGTTAACTTTGTTTGCTCCGCTGAGGGATGCTTGGGAGGACGAGGTGGGGGGTGTGACAGAGAACTTTCATATCTTCTCATCATATAATATTGTTCTTCTGTAATCTCCTCTACCAGAGTCCTAACTTGAAATGGCTCGGTATCCCTAGACAAACTACTACTAACTAACTGAACTGTCATATTCAAGCGGCCTACGGGAATTTCCCAACATTCCCTGGGGTTGGCAAAGTCACTGATGAGTAGGTAAGAGTCTGTGATATCCTCCTCCAACTGTAGTCCTGGGGTAGCTGCCAAAACATCATCAGCAATGGAAAGATCTCTCACAGACACCTTCACATTGAAGGGCCAGCGGAACTGTGTACAGAGCTCAGAAATCTGGTACTGTTTCTTATCATGAATCACCTCTACAAAACCTCCTTCCATGTACAGAGGCAGCCGTGCTGCCTCATAGGACGTTTTGAGGATTTTTTCACAGGCCAGAACGTTCACCACTTTCTTCACTCCTTCACAGAGGACTTCAGTGGCCTCTGAGTGATGCACTAGAAACTGGTCCCCGACAGACACAGAGGACAGCTCCTGCTGAAGTGGATGAAAGGCTTTGGTGGCCACCACATGAAGGGGTTCCTTCTCACTCTTAACGATCTGCAGGTCATATGCAGTTGGGAACTCACGTGGTCTCCGTTTGAACTTGCCTTTGTAGCTAGTAGGGATCAAGAAGTGTCTTTTAGGGAAATTGCTTCGCATTTCTGAAGCTAAAATCCTTGAAGCCTGGTACTTTTTGTGGATCACAATGTTTTTTCCAGGCTGTAAAATATTTCTGGGCAGTTGGTTCCCTTGAGGTACTTCTATGACTTCAGCCACTATGGGAAACTCTTTACTGGTCATTTCAAGGAGATCTTCCGTAGATAACAGCTGAAGAAACCAGTTAGCATCGTGAGAGTCAGTGATATCTTTGACTTCAACATCTAAACTGGGGAGAATGCGGACTATGTCCTTTTGAACTGAAAAAATAAAAAAGAAGAAAACAACTGACATTTTGTTCAAAATGCATTTTGTGAGATAGTCTCCTGGCGCCATAGCTAAATTTCACTTAGTGGGAAAAAAAAAAAGAAGAAGAACTCACATAATTATAATATAGTTTTCCATAAATGTGATTCCTTGGTTTTTTTTTAGTTTTATGATGAAAGAAATCATACATAAACCAACATGCTCAGTTTAAGAAGTAGACATTTTTTATGGGTCTTTTTGCTACTCTAACATTCTCCCCTCTGAAGAGGTAACCCTAGAATCGTCTAGGGATTAGATAAGAGAGTACATGAAGTTGTCAGGAAACAGTGATGGGGAGATATGGGAGGAGTTGGAGGGGAGGGAGTGAGTGTGGATTTGATCCAAACACCTTATATGCATGTATGAAATTTTTTTAAAGTTAAAAAAAACTTTTGGCTTTAGTTCTACAGCTTTTTTAGTGATATGAATTTTATTTGTTTTGTTCTCAGCTACTTGCTTTATGAAATAAAATCTATGGAGAAAAATCAAAGTAGACATTAACTAATCCCTCGGAAACCTAGGAATCTTACCAAAAATCATATCTTCCTCACTACTACAAAGGATAATCACTATCCTAATCCCAATATTGCTCATTCTTGTGTTTGTACATATAGTTTTATGACATATACATGAATATGTAAGAATATACCTATAAATATGTGTGTGAAAATTGTATCATTTCATTTTAAATCATGTTTTTAAAAAATTTTATTTATTACTTTTGTTCTATGTGTATGAGTACATCGCCTGCCTATATGTGAGTGCACCATGTCATACAATGCCCTCGAACTGGAGTTGAGGACAGTTATAAGCCACCCTGTGGGCGCTGGGAGTCAAAACTGGGTCCTTTGCAAGAACAAGCAGTGCTCTTAACCATTGAGCCATCTCTCCAGCTCCTTAAATCATGTTTTTAAGATCCAGACTTTATATAAAAAATTGCTATAGAAGAAAATTTTGATACTTCAGACAAAACTCCCATGTATGAGACCCAAAACATATTTTCCTCATACAAAATCCCACCCTGTAGAGTAAAACAACATTGCAAAATCACAAACATAAGACACTTAAGATTGACATATGGGGCACCCAGAGGCACTTCTGTGAAATTGAGGCTAGCCTGGTCAACACACTGGGTTCTAGGCCAACTGAAGCTACAGGGAGACTCTGTCTCAAAAGCAAAACAAAACGAAACAAAAAGGACTGGAATATGAAATAGATATCAAGATTCAAACTTTTTAAAAGTCAAAGTTATCTCTTCTTCCACCCATACTATATTTTACCTGGGTAGAAAGAAAGTGCTATAGGATGGGTGCCCTGGCTGGAATGATGGTGTCACTGAAGAAAGATGAGTCACTATGTTCTAAAAAGTCTTTCTTTGAGATTACTGAGTCACACAGAACATTATTGTCAGATAACCTACCTGCTCTCCAGGTACCACCATCATAATATTGTTATAAAAGATCTAGAATTTAAAATAGTGATATTATAATAGCATATGTGTTTTCTTGACAATTTTCTAACATATGTTATATAAGCATTTTATAAACCAATATTGTTTCCTAATATCTCTATCCACCGCCTGCCACTGTTTCTTTCCATGATGTTTTACTTTGGCGTAGATGGTTTGGATTTTATGAGCTTTTCTTTTGTTTGTTTGTTTGTTTGTTTGTTTCTGTTTGTTCGTTTGACAGGACATCATTCTATAGCTAAAACTGATGACCTGGAACTTATAATGTAGCCCAGATTGACTTCAAATGTGTAGCAATCTTCAGCCTCTGCCTGCTGGCTGTTGAGATGAAGCTGCCACAACACCCAACAGTTTTCTCTTGCTTTTGGAAATTAAAAATATAAAAACTTAGAAAACAATTTTTTCTTGTAAAACATCACTTACACTATTACATTTTATGTTACCCACTTACACAGCTCTGAAATCCTCTGTCATTTCTGTCATGTTATTATTTATTCTGTATACTAGAGTTTGTAAAGACACAGCATAAAAAAGTGCTGCTTCATTTTCTTTAGAAATAAAAAAAGATTGACTCCCCCGGCCTCATTCGCCCTTCCATCTCCGCCGCAGTTCTCTACTCCTAGCTTGGGCCCTGTGCCATTCCTAGTCTTGGGGCCCCAGACACCTGGGGAGCCACTGCTGATTCCTGACCCTGTTCACCCCCACAGGCTTGGTGCCTTCCTTGGACCCCAGGAGCACTGCCTCTAGACCCGGCCCTGCCCTCACCTCTCTCTGCTCCCCCGGACCTGCACCACCCGCTAACTCTCCTGGCCTTCTACCCTATCCTCAGGCCTCTTGGGGTGGGTCCATCACGGAGCCTTCCGCGCATTGACCCCCCCGGCCTCATTCGCCCTTCCATCTCCTCCGCTGTTCTCTGCTCCTGGTTTGGGCCCCGCACCCTTCCTGGTCTTGGGTCCCCAGACACCTGAGGAACTGGTGCTGCTTCCTGATCTTTTTCGACCAGGCCAGCTTGGTGCCCTCCTTGGGCCCCAGGAGCACTGCTTCCACGGGACCTGGCCCTGCCCTCACCTCTCCCTGCTTCCCGGACCTGCACCACTGGCTAACTCTCTTGGCCCGCTCTCCCGCCCTCAGGCCTCTCTGGGGGTAAGTCTAACCTGCAGCCCTCCACACCTTCACTCCGACAGCCGCGCTCACCCTTCCATCTCCCCTGCTGTTCTCTACTCCAAGCTTGGGCCCTGTGCCATTCCTAGTTTTGGGGCCCCAGACACCTGGGGAGCCACTGCTGAATCCTGACCCTGTTCACCCCCACCGGCTTGGTGCCTTCCTTGGGCCCCAGGAGCACTGCCTCTAGACCCGGCCCCACACCCACCTCTCTCTGCTTCCTGATCCTGCAACACCTACCAGCCTCTTTCTGGGGCTGACAGCCTCTTTCTGGGGCTCTGAGGCTTACCTTGCCTCTCCCTGATCCTTTGCATCCAGTACAACCCAACTACTCAATCCACTCCCTGGGAAATCTTGGGGCTTATTCCCACCCCATCAGCCTTTGCATCCTGTATGGCACGGCCACAAGCCAGGGTCTCAGGTCAGTCCAACACC